TTGTCCTGTCAGCGTTTTGAAGATGTCATTACGTGTGAGAGGACTTTCTGGAGTGGTTCTGCTTTGTGAAATCAGTTCATTCCTCAACACCTCATGTTCGTTATTTATCTCTCCACTTCCACCCTCTGTCATGTACAGATCCGTGTAGATCTCCGTCAATAAACTCTGTTTACCTTGAGATGAATTTCCTTCGTTTATATGTTGACATTTGTCCTGAAGTTTTGCTTTATTGGCTTGTGTGATTTTTTGAAGTGGATTAACTAGGTGAAAATAAGAGCTGTTTAGATGCAGTGAAAATATATATAATTATGTATATAATTTTAAGTTAAATTAAATAATAGTCTCACCATTTGCCTGGAAGTGTAATGTGATTCTCAGTGCTGTCTCTCCTCCAAAGCACTCCACTATATTCACAGCAACATCGGAGACACTGAGCTCCTCCGGCTCACTCCCTAAGCATTCTGGGTAATCCTTTGATAGTTCTATTTTAAAGGTTTTGAAGTCTTCTGACCTCATGTTTCTCAAGACCTGATGGAGCAGGGTTTGACTGTCTGGCACATTAGGTTTCTGTGGTAAAACACAACAGTATCCAACAGAACAATGGTTATCAACCATGAATTATATAATACAAATGCCTCCAGTTCAGAGGTCTAAAGATCTCTAAATATATAAAATTTTCTGTTGGATAACAGCATGGATATTACAATAAAAAACTAACCACAGTATAGATTTTACTGTGTCCTTGGTGCTCTTGCCCCACACATTTGGCACAGATGTGCATGTTATCTGTCTTACAGAACACTTCCAGATCTCTGTGGTGCCGCTGACAGACTCCTTTAGCAGGTGTGGACTCTGTCTGCTCTTCTGTGTCTTCCACACACAGCTTTCTGCAGGAATATTCAGTATTAATCAGTTCACTTAAACTTAAGTTGATAATTTGTTTTTAATTATATAATCATTTATAACTATCTCAGCATGTTTTCTTATATGCATGCTAACTTCTTTGTAAATGTTTAATTAGACAAAACCTTTTTATATTTCTCTGTGCTTTACTGCTGAAGTTCATTGGTAATGGAATCGATCTCTCACTCATCAAAGACAGATATGATGTCGGTGAGTCTGATCTCTCCTGTTTGGTTCTATGAGTAAAACAGAACGTTTGTCACATGTAAATGAGTGTTTTCACATGAAAGTTTATATTTTTCCTCTTTCATGTTAACTTTACTGTAAATGTTTCATTAGACCAACCTTTCTTTATTTCTCTGTGCTTCATCACTGAAGTTCATTGGTAATGGAATTGATCTCTCACTCTTTAGAGACAGATGTGATGATGTCGGTGAGTCTGATCTCTCCTGTTTGGTTCTAAGGGGAAAAATGGGGAAAGTATATACAAATATTAAAAATATATAAAAAATATTCAGGGACTGAAAATATTTGCAAAACTGGTATATTGTATTTTCTATTTCTGAACAAAACTGAATTAATTCATTTAATTTATTTAACAAAATTGTTTTCCTGTATATGCCAAAGGTCATGAAATGGAACTGGTGTCTGCATTTAAGTGTAATATGAAAGCATAGTGCTATATCTGTAGCTATCACTCATCAAAGACAGATATGATGTCGGTGAGTCTGATCTCTCCTGTTTGGTTCTATGAGTAAAACAGAACGTTTGTCACATGTAAATGAGTGTTTTCACATGAAAGTTTATATTTTTCCTCTTTCATGTTAACTTTACTGTAAATGTTTCATTAGACCAACCTTTCTTTATTTCTCTGTGCTTCATCACTGAAGTTCATTGGTAATGGAATTGATCTCTCACTCTTTAGAGACAGATGTGATGATGTCGGTGAGTCTGATCTCTCCTGTTTGATTCTAAGGGGAAAAATGGGGAAAGTATATACAAATATTAAAAATATATAAAAAAATATTCAGGGACTGAAAATATTTGCAAAACTGGTATATTGTATTTTCTATTTCTGAACAAAACTGAATTAATACATTTAATTTATTTAACAAAATTGTTTTCCTGTATATGCCAAAGGTCATGAAATGGAACTGGTGTCTGCATTTAAGTGTAATATGAAAGCATAGTGCTATATCTGTAGCTATACTGTACATATCAAACATCTCAAAGCAAGTCTCTCTGTGTGTGTGTGTGTGTGTGTGTGTGTGTGTGTGTGTCTCAAATGCAGCATGATCTTTTCTCCTCACTAGTGTTAATTTTCCTTGTTTAAGTCTGTGCGTTTAATACAGCTGGTTTTTGGTGATTTCAGTGGATGAATGAAGCCTGTTCTGCTGAAATGCCATCTATAAAATTAATGCCACTAAATCAATACAAAGCCAAATTGATCTTGAAATGTTTGTGACTCTTCATTGTCCTCACCGTTCAGAGTGAAGGTCCTCTTTTGAACCGCTCATACTGGCAGAGCCGTCATCATTCTCTCCAGCACTCATGATCAACAAATGGGTTCCTATGAAGACACAAGATTATACCAATGTATAGTTTTATTTCTAAAAGTGGCTTTTCTGTCCCCATTTTGAGAAACTTTGTCTATTTTGTGTGTTCCTAATTCAGTATTCTCCTGTTTGAAACAACCATACAAACAACTAGAGAAAACACATATTTGCATTACTGAACCTTTGACTCAAAACCTTTCTAGTTACTGATATACAGAGCGTACAATGACTAGACCAGGGATATTGACTCCATAAATGTATAAAAGTTAGGTATCAAAGGTCAGTTGTATAATGTCACAGCTAGCAATGCAACCTGAAAAACTGCTCTGAATGAGTATATATATATATATATATATATATATATTAGATCAGGAAACATTTTAAGCTGTCATATAGTCATGTTACAACGTGCCCCTCAGATGTTACACCCATGGGGCATGTTGTCACATTTCACTTCCATTATTTTTGGTAAATAAAGAAAAAAAGTGTACACTGTATTTATGAAACAAAACCACATATTTGTACTAGACAAGTGTGAAATTTGTGGGGGGAAAAATAATCTGAACCTCCATGTGGATTTACACAAACTCTACAAAACTTTACAAAAAGTGTTGGGGTGTGTCCCGCTCTCCCCTACGCTTCTAGAGGGCGGTCAGGTTAGTTTCACATTCTATATTTACTGCATATTTCTGTACTGGGAAAGTACCAACCACACAGCTCTCTCTCTCTCTCTCTGTGTCTCTCTCTCTGTGTGTGTGTCTCTCTCTCTCTCTCTCTCTGTCTTTCTCTCTCTCTCTCTCTCTCTCTCTCTCTCTCTCTCCAATTCAAAATTAAATGTTATTTTCACATTTAAAAGATTGTTGTAGGTTTCCAATGGACAGACTGACGTACTACAGATGGCGTTTAGCAAATATCTCCAAGTACAGCATTCAATTATTTTAGATAAAAATTAACTATAACTAGTCTAAATGTTATTTTAACTTTCAAAAGGTTGTAGTAAGGGCTTAGTGGCAACACTTCACGAATATCCAGGGAATCTCGAAAGTTAAATTATTTCTATATGGTTAAACTGGCGGTAAAACTGCCTCGTGCGATCGATCCGCCTATCTGCGTATAGAAATAATACGCTTAATTTACTGAACAATTCAAAAGGCTACCGGTGACCCCTTTATGTATTTAGTGTTATTTACAGCATAGATTGAACCTGTGTGCATCCTACTTATGTGACGACGGTTAATGTTAAGAGCTTGGCCAAACACACGTCAGTAGAAATATCATACTCTCGCTTCAGCATAAGGCAGCTGCTGTATTATTCATAGCCTAACTTACCGAACTAGCGACAGGAATTCCGTATGTCGTTTTTTCTGCTCTGTGCTCAAAAAATGCAGGTGCAGGTTAACATCACATTAGTGGTGATAGTAGTTTTATGTCGCAATAGATTATATAAATTCAAGAGATGATCAGTAAACTCACCGATGATAAGTAGTGTGCTCGCTGCTGCTTTCACTTTCGCTTTAGTGTGTTTGTGTCGCAGCATTAAATACTGAGCGATGAACGAGGAGCAGTTTCTTTCCTGTTCCTGTAAAAACACTGTGTTCGACTTGCTCTTCGTGTTTTAATATTTATTCGCTCGACAAAACAAATTCCAATTAGCGATGATCTCTACCACAGTAAAGAAGTAATACATTTAAAATACATTATTCATACTAAGTATAGTTCAAATCTATTAACATATTCACTGATATATCGCTAGAGACTTACTGACATCAAAATTATAATTAAACTTTATTTGTGCACCTGAAGTTTACTTGCAATAGTTCCACTTTAGCACAATCAAATACACTTCAGTATATCTTTAGTTGGATTTTAGCACTACTTCCGCACAATTAAAGTGCATTAAGTACAAAATTAGTTGTTCCAATTTAGCAGACTTTTTCACTAGGGTACACTGCACTGCAATGCGTACACGCGATTAGTTGAGGGATTTGATTCAAAAGCCATTTTTGCACATTCAGAACTATTTAATTTGATTTCAAATTGACCGGGTTGAACCAAATTGATTAGATTTGATTAACCGTTTTAAAATGCATTTATAGGATCTTTCCCCTGTGTGTCTTAGACAAAAAAGACAAACTGTTTATGAATCAAAAGTGTGTGTGTGTGTGTGTGTGTGTGTGTGTGTGTGAGTGTGTGTGTAGACTTTATAGACTTTTTCCTCTGTAGAAGGCAACAATTTTAGCAAATTTCTCTGAGGCCATACATATCTGGATGAATGTAGTGACATGTACGGAGTGATATGAACATATCACTCTTTCCAAACCTCTTTCCAGAGACCGTTGGCATTAGTGTGTATTGTCAGTTTATGATGATCTAATTTGCATTAGTTTTTTATAGCCAATGTCAGTTAATAACAAATATTCTCTCGATTTATTTGTTGAATCTAGAATAAGGTTTACCTTATTACTTCCAGGAAACTTTGTCAATGTAGCTGAGGGGCCCTGATGAACTTTGGTGACATAGGCTATCAACTTGGGCCTAACAAGAGTAAATACTCTATGTATGGAGAGAATTCTCTGAAAAACAAGAAGAGAGCACATTACAGTAACAGACTACATCTGAATGTCTAACTACTAAGAGATCATAACTTTATTCAATCAACTAAAATCTAAGAGGTTAAATACTGATTAATAAGTTGATCAATAACCACTCAAAAGGATGTATATGAAAGCAGCCGTGGATCCAGGATTCCACTCCTTAAGTCTCCCAATTTAGACTAACATGGGGTCCAATATATAAAATATAAAATAATACAAATGTTTAAAAACGATCTGATAACGTGAGAATTACTTCAAATGTTGAGTAATATTAAATGTAGAATTTCCAAATAATATCAAAATAACTGTCTGATGTGAAATAACAAATAAAAGCCTCTCATAAACGTGCAACCTGTTTTATCTGTAAATTCATAGAGTTATTAACAGAAAACGCCCTGCTTCCACAGACCAATTTCAATTCAGATTAATAGTCCACCACCCCAGAGTGTAACTCAGTCAATGTCAGGACTATCTGGTTGCATTACAAAATAAAAGCCCTCCAAAACTCATACATGACCAGTTTTGTCTTGTAAAAAAAAAAATTATATGTTCAGATAGCTCTAAAAAGGAAAGTTCCTGTTTCCACTAATTGGTTTCAGATTGATAGTACACCTTAGCAGAGTTTTAATTCCCTAATTTCAGGACTGTCTGATGTTGCATTACAAAATAAAAGCCTTCCAAGAACTCATAAATGACCAGTTTTGTCTATGATTTTGGACAGCAAAAGGAAATTCCCTGTTTATCATTTTTCGTGCAAAATCGTTCAAGCGCAACTTTTGAAGTTCTTTAAAAAGAGGCCAACAGAAGGTAGGATTTTTCCTTGATTAGAGTTTAAAGACATTCCCCTGACATGTTATTGTGCTGTATGTGTGACTTGAGGGACTGAGAGACCATAGCAGAGATTACATTATATGAGTATATATGAGTATATGACTCAGACTTTGCAAAAAAACAGCACGTATTTAGAGTCCAAAAGCATTCACTGCACGATGAGGCCTATTAGAATGCAATTAGAATGCCCTTATAATTCAAACAATGAAAGAAAAAACACCCATGTATTGAGTTTTTATGTTTTTATAATCATCGCACAAGCAACGTACTTTCCTGAATATCAGCACATGTGTGCAAACACAAATGTGCTATTAATTTTATACAATAGTGCAGAGAAACACGGTGTTTCGTTCCTTTAAGGAATCTGTTTTTGAATGAATCGAGTGAGCCAGTTATTCAACGGTCCATTCAGATGGGCTCACTTGTTTCGTTTCTAATTTAATCAGCCATTTTGAATGAATCATTTGATTTGAGAGATTCAATAAATTATTTATTAAAACCGGGACTTGCTGCCACCTACTAGCAGTTTTTACTGTCATATTTATTTATTGATGACAAGATTAAAGATGATGCAGGCACAAAATCACATTCAGCAAAATATAATTTAATTATCAATATTGACCAAAATTCCTCCATTTCAGGCTCCAGAAGGAAAACAGCTTATAAATAAAGCTAATTTTTCATTACACAAAAATCTATTATAATGCAAGACAATGCAATCCATTATATAGTGCAAGAAGATGGCTTGTTAATCCACTCCTTTCAATTCCAAAGAATCATTTCTTTGTCTCAGTTTCTACAAGCTGGCTCCATTGTTGACAAAGGGGCTGCAGTTCAGTTTCTCCTGCCCTGGCATGTTCTCACCTCCAGACCCCAGAGGCATGTGACTGTGCTCCACAGCTGTGATCCAGTAGAGGTTTCTTTCTGTCTTATAAAGGGAACAGTCACCTGGGAAAGCAGGAAAATACATGTGCTTATACACGATCACCTTCATTTCCTTACACATCTCTGATTTGAGGAAACAATGCATTTGACCGTTTGAACCTTTTAAAGATGCATATATTGCAAACAGTGGTTTTAGCAAAATATCTCTTTAAAAGACACAAAAGTTGAGAGGTTTGTTTCTACACATGCAACAACAACTGACTCTACAGTACTGTATTCACTGAGATTCTAAGCTTTAACATGCAAATAACATAAAAAAATATAGAATAATGCAAGGGTGAATCTTATGGAACCAGTATCATCATTCATCCCAAAGTGAACATGAAAGCAATTATACTATGCAAAGAATAAAAGCTATGTAAAATCATCTACTGTAATGTAAAAAACTGTGATATATAAAAATTACATACCGAATCATTCCAACCCACTGTCTATCTATAACATGATTTCACACTTTTGCCCTGCTGTTTTACGCACATTTGATTTTCTGCAGAACGTGATACATTTCCCATTCAGAATACACAAACCAACTCAATACAAATCAATTATTTTATTGCTTGCTATCCAAGATTTTAAGAGAGAAGTAGCAAATAAAATGCATGTCCTCATTTAATCAAGCTTGTGTGATTTGGTTTTGATCTGAGCAGCTGCCGAGGGTGATGTGGGTCAGGACTGCCACCGCTGCTGGTTCTCACTCGTTCAGATTCGCCTCGGCTGATGATACACGCAAGAACCAGAGAAGATTGCTCACTGTTTCATCTCATCTTCTGTGATGCAGTGTGAACGGTGCTTCCAGCATTATCAACACTATCTCACGTCCAATTCTTACGTATTTTATGAGGTGGCTAATTCGTACGACCTCACTCGTACGATTTTGTACGATTTGTGTGAGAGGCAGGTTTAGGGGTGTGTGTGTGTGTGTGTTTGTGTGTGTGTGTGTATGTGTGTGTGAAATAGTTTCTTGTAAAACATACTCCAGTAATCTTTGTTTTATTCGCAACTTCAGAAAATCTTTTAGAATTCTTAGAATATATAATTTGAATTCCATACTGGTTAATTCTGTGCATAAAGTGCATAAATAGCACATCAAATGAATGTGTATATCTGCATCACTGAAGCTTTTTATAAACCTAATATATACTCATTTAAATTTTGGGGAAAAAAGCATTGTGTTTCAGTAATGAGGTTGAAGTAATGAGATTTTATCTTACATGAGTTGCAAAATAGTTGAAATTGTTGTTTAATTGTCATGAAAGTAATTTCACAATGCAAAAAGGCTTTTTTTTTCAATATATTATTTCTTAAAAAATATATTTATTCCTGAGGGTTTCTTTCTTTCTTTTCATAATTTAAATGAGCATATATTAAGTTTATCAAAAGCTTTAGTGATGCAGATATACACTTCCATCTGATTTTGGAATGAAGAATGGCCCAGACAGATTCACTCACAAAGATTCTCAAATGGTTTAAGAGGCCTCAAAATCAATAGCATAATGTGTTTTGTGAGTACACAGATGAATGTGTGTGTAACAAACGTTCGTAGTTCGGGAAGAAGGAGGCGGGAACCGGCGAACATTCAAACAAACTTTAATGATAAAATAAACACAAAATAGCGCGACAGCCCCTCGCGGACGACTGTCGCGCACAAACGAAACCAAAACACAAAATAAAATCCAGGCCTGGTCCTCTCTCGTCCAACACTGTAGTCACTCCTCCTTTATCCTTCCGGAGCTCCTCCGTGAGACTCGAGACCGGTGAGTGGGTGCAGGTGTCCCTCATTAGCAATCACTCCACCGGCCTCGCTCCGTTCCCACGGCTCTCAGCCCCGCCCCCACTCGTCACAGTGTGCTTGTTAACAGCTGCTGGAATCAGACGAGCGTGGCGTGAGCTGCTGATAGCTGATGTCTCACCTCCAGACTGTGTGGGTCATTCCATCAACGAGTCTTCAGCACGGCTCGCCTGATAGCATTGTGTACCGGATAAATAGGGTTTTGTTTGTGACTCTACTGCCCTTTCCTTACCTCCATTTAGAGAGGGGGATCAGGAACCATCAGCACAAATGGACAGCTCGAAGAATAGAGCAATTCCTCCTGGGATGATAATGTCAGAAAAGAGGGGAAAAAAAGAAAAAGGAATGA